CTCCCCTCCCTCTCTACCATTAGCAGTAGAAGAATAGGAAATGATTTCCACTTTTTTAAATGTTAAGAATTCTCTGAAACATGAAGGCGGACGCCCTTATTCGTGAATACTTGAATATAACTACAAGAACTAGTTAGATAGTTAAAGCTCTACAAAAACTGCGTTATTATGATAACAATTCTTGTGCATATTTCAAATTTTGGTTTTCAGTGAAAGAGATTGAGGAAATGAGGAGGGGGAATGGCAAGACGTCCTTTCTCCTTTGGTAGCAATCATGGAAAGAATAGACATACATTACATATATTATAATATAGTTTCACCTGGCTTATTTCAAACTTCACGCAGTTTTAAATTTTGAAAATTTGAAGAAATTCAAATTAGTAAAATATGCAATGTTTCGGTCTGATCGCCTCCTCCCTCCTCCCCCCCTCCCCAAAGAAACAAGAAGNTATATATCTATCTATATATCTATCTATCTATCTACCTTTCTATCTGTCTCTCTATTTATCTATATATCTATCTATCTATATATATAAATATCTATATATTTATCTATATATCTTACTATCTGTCTCAATATCCATCTCTCTGTTTATATTTCGATCTATCCATCTGTCTATTTAGATTCAGGAATTTAAGATGTTTTTTTAATGGTAAAGCCATGCACACATTTTAATATCACAAAAAAAACTTTTAACTCATCCAATCTAAAACATTTTAGTTTTAATTTTTATTTGTCTTTTAGCACTTTTAAACATTTAAAGTTTAAACATTAAGATTTTTTTCTTAACATTTTTAACACTTCGTTAAAACGAAATCAAGTTTAAGAAATTAGTCAATGCAAGTTTTTAGATAAAAATTATACTTTAGTTTATCTTTTTCAAGCATTCAACTGATTTATTGCGCCAAGCTCCAATATGTTATCCCTGTATATATCTGTGCAATCTTATTGTGTAAACCATTGATATTCAAACTTCTACTGCTTGATCCAGGGTATATTAATAGTTTGAAAATACCAAAGGTCCACCGCACCAAATTATTTCCTTTAAACATTCAAAATATTTGATATAATCGTAATTCTAAGTGATCCTTCCTTCTGGCAATTGCTAAGGATATGTCCGATTTACAATTAGGTACCCTAGATACGTTAGTCTGATCAATAATTTGGAAGAGCTAAATTCTGATAATTTTTTAAGTGTTTCTAAAGCAAGAAAAGCTTAAGTCACTTGAACAGAGAAACCTCAAATGAGAATAAACAGTTTTCAAAAACAAAAACCTCAATATCTAATTCAAAATAGATCAACAAAGCTTTTAGAATTGTACCCTTGTGAAACGGACCATACCACTCTATCAAATAGAGCTGTACCCTTGTGAAACGGACCATATCACTTTATCAAATAGAGCTGTACTCTTGTTTTAAATTTTTTAAAACAAGTATTATAGAATTTATTTATAATCCTTTAACATAAAGTTAATTTTTAAACAGACACTGCTTGCAGTATATTTACTGTATACAAGTGGTCAAACAGAAAACTTGTTTTTCTTACTCAGAATTTTCGCCTTTAGGGTTCAATATTTCTTA